CCAGCTCAAGGAGATCTGATATACTCTTCTAGCTTCCAAGGATACAGCACACACACACACACACACACACAGAATATGGAAAAATAAATTCCTTTTAATTTTTATTTATTTTGAAAAATAAATTCTTTCGAAGCATAATTAAAGAAACTGTAAGCAATTTGATGCAGAAATGTGTTTTTTAAAAACCTAAGTTTTCATGTCTAATGTTTTGGAAGGTCTTGATGCCAGTCAGGCAAGATGGAAGAAGCCAGTGAGGAGAATTAGTTTAAAAGAGTGAGATGGATTTGGTTCTGGATGGAGTACAGATTGCATTTCTCATCAGAAATAGTTTGAGGGAGGAAAGGGTTGTCTTGGACCATACTTTAAGAAGACAAAATTCATCATGGAGGGAAGACATGGCTGCTGGGGCCCTGTTCATGGTGTCTGAAGCTTGTGTACACTTTGTTACATTTTGGCAGATGAGGAGATGGAGATCTGCGGTGGGAACCCAGGCCTCAGGGCAGGGGCTTCAGGGACACACCAGGTGTGCTTTACCTACTGAAGGTCTCACAAACTCCCCAGACAGCGCCATCACCTGGGGACCAGGCATCCGAACAGCTGCCAGACAGGACTTGGCAGGATATTCATTTAGAGATGGCCTCAGAGACCAGCTCGATGGAAACAAAGTGGCTCTGAGGAACTCTGAAGTTCTGCCACAATCCATTCGCTTCAGCAAATGCACACACAACTGTCTGCTCTGAGGTGGAATCCAAAGCTCAAGGATGGGCCCTTGATGGTTTGTGTAACCCAGTGAGGAAAGCAGAGAAGGCAAAAAAGAATTCAGTCTCACAAAGTGTGTAGAGGGGACAATGTGTTGACTAGGAGAATTAGGCAGGCTCACTCACCTGTGCAAGCTTCCTACCTGAGCAAACCGGCTATCCCAGAGAAGAGCCCAGGAAAGCAACGCAGATGGCACCTCATGTTGAAATCCCCGCCCTGCATCTTGTTACTCTGGCCTCGACTGCTACACCCAGATGAAGGTTTGTGGTCTTGTAGTTGATAGAAAGATGTCCAGACACTCACCCGGGAAGCTGCCCCCACTGTGTTTCTCTTTAGTTCCCAGTGAGTGACAGACACAACACAGGTTGTTGTGACTGTGGAGTAGACACCAGAAGCCTGGACATCAGGAAAGGAGACTATGTGTGAAGATGCTCAGACGGGCTGGCTCATGAACAGAATTACCAGAGTTACAGGAAATAGAGGCCTCTCAGGAAGGCTGGGGAAGGTTTCAACCCCACCATTGAACCACAAGAAGCACAGCTACTCCCGGACAGAACAATAATTTTCTGGCTAACCACATGATCTTTTGTTTTATTTTATCTTTTTTGATATAGGGTCTATGTGGCCCAGGCTGGCCTAAAGCTCACAATCTCCCATTTCAGTCACTAGGATTAAGGGGAACCTAGCTGATATGATTTTTCTCAGATGTCCTTATTTTGAATAACTTCCTAACATTTGTGGTGTAGTGGCCTAGAATTTCACGCCTTCTAAAGTCCCAAGAAACATAAGAAAATACTCCTGTTGTTTGGCTTTGATTCTGTCTGCAGAAGAGGATGCTCCGTGAAGAGGGGTCAGGTGATGGTCAGAAGACAGATCAAAAGGCTGTGTGTGTGCACAACTTTTTTCCTGCAACGGCTGAAAACCGAAAAGCATGCGTTCAGCTTTTCACCAACACCGTTTAAGTGTTTCGTGGCAGGACCTCTTAATGAGCTGCAGGGTTTTGCAGCTAAAGCTGAGTCAGGAAGCCTCTCTTAGATGAGAGCGCTTGCTTACCTCTAGCAAGCAGAGTAGACCCGAAAATTGTTGCTACCAAGAAAACAAACATGCTTTACTCTTTCCCAAGCTTTCTCAGGCTTTTTGTGGATTCAGTTAGCCTCACGTTGGGCAGCCATCTGTTGAAATATGAAGCGGCGGGGCTGCGTCCCCAACACCCCGGCCGCTTGGCTAGCTCATGCCCGAAATATCAACACACAAACTGTATTCATTTAAGAACTGCTTGGCCCATGAACTCTAGCCCTAGTTGGTTTATTATAATTAACCTGTGACCTTCCTCCATCAGGAGTGAAGGGAGAGAGTCTCTGTGAGGTGAAGCTGGAGAGGGGTGCGCAGGACCAACAGCAGGGACTATCCTGCTCAGCTTTTGTTGCCAACGGGGGTTGTGGGAGGCTGCTTGGTCACCTGTTCATTTCCTGGCTACTCAGCCCCAAAATAACCACACAGAAACTATGTTAATTAAATCAATTCTTGGCTCATTAGCTCTATCTTATTGGCTCTTACATCTTAATTTAACCCATTTATATTAATCTGTGTATTGCCATGTGCTTACCAGGTAAAGTTCCGGCGTCCGTCTCAGGTGGGGCTACATGGCTTCTTCCTGACTTTACCTTCTTCCTCCCAGCATTCAGTTAATTTTCCCTGCCTAGCTAAGTTCTGCCCTGCTATAGGTCCAAAGCAGTTTCTTTATTCATTAAGGGGACTCCCACATCAAATGGGGAACAGCCTAGAGTGGTGGTGGGGGGGGGGCAAGACTACCCTGAGGGATTGCCCAGATCAGACTGGAAGTGGACATGTCTGAGGCTGATTGTTAATCACTGTCCACTGTGGACAACATCATTCCTAGGCAGGCAGTCCTTAGCAGCAGAAGGGAGCTAGTATGAGCCTGGGGGTGAGCCAGGCAAGCAGTGTTCCTCCATGGCTTCTGCTTCAAGCTCTGGCTTGAGTTCCAGCTCTGACGTCCCTCAGTAACAAACTGTGGCCTGAATGTGTGAGCCAAACGAGCCTTCTTCCTTCTAAGTTGCTTTTGGTCAGAGTGCTTTATCTCAGTAACAGAAGAAAACCAGCAGCAGGAACACAGACTCGTTTTGGGAACCGTGAGCCAAGATGGGTTACTGAGACCCTGTGGATAGGTTAGATTTCTGCTGCTGCTAGAATTTTTGTAATCAGCATCGAAATGCTACAGGGAGCACTGCGGTCCTCTTAAGATGCAGGGTACCGGTTGTCGAGAAAGACACCGCTCACCGTGGACTTAATGCAGCACAGAATGCAGCTGTGGTAGGACACAAAACAGTGTTCAAACACACACAAATGTCTAACAAATTCACAGTGCTCGTCATGCAGCAGAGTTTTCTAGTCACCCTAGGATGTGGTTCATCAGAAGGTGACCTCAGTGCGTGTAAAAGCCGATTTCGGAAGGTGATAAAAGCAGATAGTGACAGGCTTAGAGAACGCTAAGCAAGGATTTAGTCCCAGAGAGGGTGCCTAGAGTGTTCATCCAGCAATGCATGACTTTACTGAATGTCTTCTTCGTGTCTGTCCTGTTACAGCCACCAGAACTTTAACAGTCAACAAAACAAGCCAGAATCCTTGCTCTCATGGTTTATGCTTTGATGAGGAAAAAGAGTTGAGAAACAAAAAAGAGCTGGGCATAGTGCCACATGCCTTTAATCCCAGCACTCGGCAGGCAGAGGCAGCTTTGTGACTTTGAGGCCAGCCTGGTCTACATAGCGATCCTGTCTCAAACAAACAAACAAGAAGAAAATGAAATACTAAGGCAGATCAAATGGTGACAAGTTTTTTGGAGGAAAATAAGTAGTATTTGGGGATTGAGGGGTAACTGCAGTATTAAAGATGTTCTTTAAGGAATATCTTACTTAAGACAAAAAAAAGACATTTAAACAAGACTAAAAGGCGAAGATAGAAGAGGATGCACTGGGCATTGGTAGCACGGGAGATGGGTGAGAACAGCTTTAGAGGAAAAAGCCAACCTCCCCTCTTCAAAGAGCAGCCAGGGGTCAACGTGAATACATGAGAAAAAGGAGGTGCACTGCTTGAGACAAGGAAGAAGGTAGGGGTAGCCAACAGCCTAAGGCAGCCAGAGTTACAGGAGAATTTTGCTTTTACATTAAGTGCAATGGGAGCCAAAGGGGAACTCAAGGCAGACTGAGCTACTCAGACAGTTAGGGTTCTTCAGCTTCGCAGTCTGAAAGTAGACTCCTTGTCTTTCTTCATCTGTAAAATAGTGGCGATGACTCTAACGTGAGGGTGTTGTGACAATTCAATAACATTATAAGCAAAAACACTTAGCAGTTACTTGGCGCCTCCTGGGCCTCCCACCTCCTGCTGGGAGGAAGAGGTCAGGGTACAAAGTGTGACAGCTTGGCCAGCTGACATCACTTGGGATCTACTGGGACAGTTTCCTGGGCGGCTGCTGATGTGGCTGCTGCAGAGACTCGGCTGGGTGGGTGGGCAGTCACTGCGGCACGGGCCCCGGCTCTGCAGGCCTCCATCGAAGGCACTCCCTCGGTGGTGTATCAGTGCAGTCTCTGGGAAGGCATGTTTATCCGCCTCCCGGTTTAGCTCTGGATGTGAACCGAGGAACGTTCGAACGCCTTGCACCTCGTGTCCGGAGGGGTCCCCCCGGATCTGCCCCGTGCAGCCAGAGCAATCTCACAAACCAGCTCTGCCTGTGGTTTCCGGGCCGGGAAGCCAGCCTGGGTCTCCCTAGAGAGACCCCGCCCGGGTTAGAAGGCTGCCGGCTCCGGACCCTCCGGGCCAGCGACCGCGCGGAGGGCAGCGGCCGGGGTCCGCCCCCGGCGGGACTGCGCGCGCCCGCCTGCCCGCCTGCCCGCCCCCGGGGAGCAGCGGGCGACCCGAAGCGCGAGCCCGGGGGCCGGGGCTCGGCGTGGAGCCACCGCCTTCTCGCAGCACGCTCGCGCGCCCGCCCTAGGCCCACCCCGGCCGCCGCTTCCCGCCCCGGCTCCCGCTGGGCTCGGCTCGCAGCGCCGAGGCCGCTCCCTCCCTCCCTCCGTACTCCTGCCCCCGCCCGCCCCCCGCGCGCGCGCGGCCGAGGCGGAGCGCCGAGCGCATCGATTGGCCTGCCTCCCTGCGCCCGCCCGCCCTCCGGGCCTATCGCGCGTTCCGGGCTCGACTCGGCAGGCGGCAGCCGCGGCGGCTGAGGCGACGAGCGCTGTGGCGGCGACTGGGGCGGCAGAGGAAGGCGGCGGCGGCGGCGGCGGCCCGGTCCGGAGTCCCGCTCCGCTCCCCGCGCCATTTCGGACCCGGAGCGAGCTTGGCGCGGGCCTGAAGGAGGCGGCGGCGGCGGGAGCCTGAGGCGCGGAGGCTCCGCGGCGCGGAGAGAGAGGTAGGGCGCGGACGGCGGGAGCCTGGGCCGCTTGCCCGGGTGCCGAGCTCGGCGCGGCCGGCCGGGCGGGGCCGCGGCGCTGAATGAAGCCGGCTCGGGGAGGCGGGCGTGGGGCGCCGAGGTCGGGCGGCCGCCGCTTCCTGGACTGGGGAAGCCTTCCTTCCTCCTCCGCGCCGCCCCGGCCTCCCCGCTCACCCGCCCGCCTGCCCGCCAGCCCGGCCTCGGCTGCAGCCGGCATCCTTGCCCGGCGCTCGGCTCAACTTGTCGGGCGAGCCCCCCCCCCACACACACCCCAGGTCGGGTGCGAGCCCCCGGGGAGGTGGTGGCGGGAAGTGCTCGCACCCCGCGGCCGGAGGTCCTGGTGGATCTCGGGGGAGGGAGGGGGGGGGATATGCATCTGCCGCCGGGTTCGCGACCGCTCCCCTCCCCCACGCGTGTCTGGGCTGTGACATTGCCGCGGCCACAAAGGAGGAGGTGGAGGTGGCGGCGACGGTGGTGGCAGAACAGGTGGCCCACGCCCTGCGCGGAAAGCCCGCGACCCGCAGGGGAAAGCAGAAAAGTTAATGCGGCAAGTCTGGGTGGCTTTGTGTGTGCGGAGCCGGAGCTACGGCGAGAGCCGAGGCAGGGGGCTGGCCCCGAGTGGAGGAAGCGCCGGCAGCTCGGCAGCTCGGCTCTCAGAGCCTCAAGTTTGAATCGCCTGCTGTCCCGGCCCCTCCAGCCTGGCGGGTTTGTCCCTTGCCCTTTCCATTCTGACTCCAGAGTTCATTGTAGCCTTCGGGCGGACCACTGTGAAATTCTCTCAGCCCCAGCCCCGAGCCAGCCTTGTGAAAGCTCGATTTTCATCAAGGCAAGGAGTTTTAAAAAACAGAATGACATGTTACGTCTGTCGTGGAAGAATCGTCCGAGAAGACATGCTGAAAGGAAAGGCCTGTTCCTGATAATCACTTGGGAATTAGCCCTGTCTGGTGTCACTCCTGGACCGAGGGCCGGATTGCAGACCCGACGTGTGACACACAATAGACTTCAAGGGTGCTTGGTGTCAGGACATTTACTTTGAAACTGTAACCATCCTCGGGCATCCTGGGCTTTAAGAGATGGCAGTAATTTCATTTTACACCTTTTTTTATTATCAAAATTATTGGAATCTAGTCCTGGTCACACCCCTTTTCTACCTTTTGTAACTGGGCGGAAAGTGGGGGGGTCTTTCTGGCGTGAGATCTTCCTTGAGTAAGACATCTTTTTTCTAGTGGACTTAAATATTACTAGGTTTTAAAAACCCGACTTGAGAATTTTTATTTTCAGCAAAAACTAGTGTGTGAGTAAGTACCAGGAGACATGCCTCTAGTCACGCGTGTGATCTAGTATCTGTCCCCAGTAGACTCTAAGTTGGCCCGGAGGACTTCTTTACACCCCTAAACAATTATTGAGGACCTCAAAAAACCTTTGTGGGGACATACCAGAAATAACGATTTTTTATTTTTCAGTTAATTTAGAGCTAGAAATAACATGTCTGTTGGTCACATGAATGCATTTTTAATGAAAAATAACTTTTCTCAAGCAAAATATGGAATAGAGTGACATTGTTTTACATGTTAGCAACCTGTTTAATTGTATGTCTTCACTGGAGATAATTGTATTCTCTCGTACCTGCATCTTATATCACTGCACTCAGAGAAGTGTAGTAAGAAGGCTGAAGTACAGTTGTGATGAAAATAGTCTCACCTCTTGCTCCGCACACACAGTCTTAGCCCCACTAGGGTCCCTCCACTGCCCTGTCAGCTAGCACACGTTTGCGGAAGGGGCAGAGGTCCCATTTCCACGTGATTCCTTTCCTTTCCTGCCATCCCTGCATCTGTTATCAAACTCAAAGCAAACAGGTAAGTTATGTTAGTACTGGCTCCCAGGATGGCTCTAGGCAGACCAGGAGAGGCTAGGTGGCGCAGAGGAGGCAGGGAGGGGAATGAAGGTCTGGTAACAGTGGTTTCCTGACCTTGTGGTATTGTTACTGAGTGGCTCAGGCACAAGGTGAGGACAGTGTGTTGGAAAACAAAGTGCATTTGTTTCCTCTTTGTGTCTGCCTGAATAATTCTTGGTCATCAAGTAGACTGTAGTTTGTGTTTATTTACACTATACACACATACATTGATGTGGAACTATTCTACAATTGTGGCTTACTGCCATTCTTTTACACCCATGCCCCCTTTTATTTGTAATAATATGTATTCTATGAGGGAAAGGAGATAAAATGATTATTTCATTTTGTTTAAAAAAGTTTGGAATGGCAACAAAAAAATAACAGATTTTTTTTTCTGTTTGGGGAGTTAACTGTATAAATTGCCAGTTGTCACTGCACCTGTTAGAAGGCAGTGTCTTGTAAGCAGAGTGAAAGTTGCAGACCCCTGCTGAGGAACTCTTTATATCCGTCGTATTTTTCTCTTGCCAAAAGTAGTGTTTATCTCCGAATTTTACTCCATTTTGTTTTTCTTGTACACAGGTACTGTTTTTTAGTACTCATGTAGGATTATATATTAAAATTGATGTGATCTCTTATACGTAATAGTTGATCTCACACCCTAAGACACTCCTACTCTTTACCTTTGTTTTCCCCACAGGGACCTTACAGGTAAGATGGCATCAGGTAGTATCTCTTTGAAAATGCCACATGTTTGTTCAGTACCTAGGTTCTTCTTTGCCCACAATACAGTTTGGACATTAGACTCCTATTTTGTTGCCTGTCAGGGAGATTTCTGCAACTGTTGGCTCCAACAAAGACACTCTTGGCTACCTGCTTCTGACTGGATATCCAGACCGCAAGAAGTGCAGAGTGGGTGTGGGGATAGCTGTCAGCTTCTGTGGGTGTGTCCCAGGGTACACGTGCTCAGTGAGGTCATGACTGGTCCTCTGAGAGCCATAGCTGTTTGATCAAACAAGCTGAATGAATACAGGACAAAGGAATTGGTTTCCCTGTATTTTTATTAAGTGTTGATGAGGTTGTAGGCACAGCTCACTCCTATGTGAATCTGCAGTCACTGAGTTCCCAATGCCTTAGAGTTTTACATAGAAAGGTGAGTGTTAAAATATTGATAAGAGTATTTGGTAATCTTGTGTGCTACATGTTCTAATTTAGTTACATTTTTATTATTTTTATTATAAGGCCTGCTGAAAATGACTGAGTATAAACTTGTGGTAGTTGGAGCTGGTGGCGTAGGCAAGAGTGCCTTGACGATACAGCTAATTCAGAATCACTTTGTGGACGAATATGATCCTACAATAGAGGTAAATCTCACTTTATATCCTACCTATGATTTATGTAGGGCAGTCGTTCTTTGCATAAAAAGATACCTCTGATCACTTTTGTTTCTATGAGAAAATTACACTGAATGTACTTTCAGTTCTATGTCATGTCCTTTAGTTTCAAGACTTTATAAACTGAGTGATAGTAACCATAGATGCCAGGAACCCGACCTCTCAAGAGAATGTCACAGAGTAAGGTCCAGGGTGCCCACTGTGTGCTTGTATTTGCATTTTAATAAGCATATGTTATGATTTTGTGAGCTGAGAATATGGATTTGCATTTGACCTCAAGGTTTTTTTGTTTTGTTGTTTGGTATTTTGGAGTCAGGGTCTCACTATATAGCTCTGACTATCCTAGAACTCACTATGTAGACCAGACTAGCTTTGAATTCACATAGATCCTGCCTTGCCTGCTCTGCCTCCCAATTGCAGGACTAAAGAGGTGTACCACCATGCCCAGCACAAGTCATTCTTTTGAATGCATTTTATTTTTCTGAGTTTCTTGGAATTTTGATGTGATGGAGAAAATTTGATTATACTAGAAAAATAAAATCATTTGATGGTTGAGTTATTTAAATAATACAATTTGATGAGTAAGATCTTCAGGATTATTTTCAGACATTTTTTATTTCTTAAAAATCTTAATCAGTTAAAGGCCAACTGCTAAGTAATAAAATTAAAACCTGGATGAGATCATGAAAAATCAGGTAATGTGTCCTATTGCTGGCAATAGGTTTATGTTTTCCAGAGCAAAGAAGGGGGAGGAATTGTTCTTTAATTGTGCTTGTTAACTCATTTCTCACAAGGTTATTCACACATTTATGTGTGGTCTAAATATATTAAATTTAACATCAGTGAAGCCTTTGAAATAGCTTTTATTGTTAGATTATTTCTTAGACATCTTTACCGCAGTGTGAAGATGTCCCAGTCCCTAGCTTTTATTCTTTGTTCTAATGTCCCATTTTTAGATTTTCGAGGTAGGTGCTACTGTACCCCAGGTGGACCTTCAGATACCTGAGGCCTGGCTTGAAGTCTTGGTCCTCCAGCTTCTACCTCTTGAGTGACCCCTGTGCCTCTGTGCTCCTGGGGAGTCAAACCCGGGGCTTCTGGTGTGCTAGCCAGCCCTCTGCCCTCTACATTCCTGTTTCATGAGCCAGTTTAAAAAGAAAAAAATCAGTTCTGAAGAATTGTGTAGAGCTTCGGAATCTCTAGCAATGATACCTCAAATAGGTCAGTGCCCTGTTATTTCTCTCTGTGTCTTGAAGAAACACTGAGCTGAGATGGGTTTTGAGGGCATTGGTAAACTTGGAAAAATGTTTATATAACTTAGAACATTGAAGGTTGGTTAAATAACTGTTAGGAAGTGTCAAATAGTTTTAGTAGTACACCACCTTCCAAAAATAGAGCAGAATGCTTATTTGAGAAGATTTGACTTAAACATAAAATTGACTTTAATTTGGTTTCCAAATTTACATTTAAATTGGTGATGTAGAGCTCCTATGTACTGTTCTTTATACATTTGACAGGTCAGCTCAGTGCTGTAGGTAGTTCTGCTCTCTCCTTTGAGGAAGATTGAAGAGTTGACCCATTTTGAATGATGTTCTAAATCATGGTTGCTCGGTGTGTTCTACCATTTAAACCCAATGTAAAAGGAAGTTTAATAGAAGACATGAAGTGCAGAAGTTTTCCTGCGATTTGGAAGATGACGTCAGCAGAAGTAATCATCTTCCTTGGAAATCCGAGCAATTCCATTGTGCTTTCTCCTGTTTGGTCTTACAGCTTCATGGATATATACAGCATGAGGCCAGACGTGCAGGATAAAATAGTTAAGGAATCCTTTAGCTCAGAGTTGCTAAAGTGCAATATACACCTAGCACTCCATTATGTGTAAGGAAAGTAGAAAAGGTTTACAAATTTGAGTCTCTTGCTCTGATTATGATTTCTGCCAAGCCAGAAGACTTGACTCTGGGGAGCACTGATAACCTGTGAACTTTGAAACTGACATTCCCCCAGGTAGTTTAGCCTTCTGGAGAAAAGCATCAGATTGTCCCTTATCTTACAGGCTGTGGTGAGTCTCCAAAGAACAGACATGGTAGTTTCTTGGGGTAGTCCATTTCTAAAAAGACTTTAAAGAGACTTGATTAAATGAAAATGCCAGCTTCATACTTTACAAAAAGTTTTAATTGATGAAAAGTGTGGTCAGAGAGAAAATTCATGGAAGCTGGGTCTGGTGGCATATAGTACTCTGAGTCAGGAGGATTTCCAGTACAAGACCTGCCTGCATAACAGATGAGGTGCAACGGCAGCCTGGGCAACTTAATCAGAGAAGTGCATGTACTTCTCTGATTAGTTTCTCTACTTTTAAAAAAATGGCAAGAAGTTTTTTAAAAATTTAAATGATAGTATCACCAAATTTTATTTTAGTGACTTAGAATTTGTGAAAATTTTGATTTTTAGGTTTTTTTTTTTTTTTTTTTTTAGTTTTTTCAAGACAGGGTTTCTCTGTAGCTTTGGAGCCTGTCCTGGCACTAGCTCTTGTAGACCAGGCTGGCCTCAAACTCACAGAGATCCGCCTGCCTCTGCCTCCCGAGTGCTGGGATTACAGGCGTGCGCCACCACCGCCCGGCAAAATTTTGATTTTTAATCTATAAACTTGTGAGGTGTTCTAATGGGCCTAAGGATATTTAGCTACTTAATAGTAAGACTGAACTTAAATTTTCTGAAAACAAGTGATTTTCACTGTTGTATTTTTGTTGTTGTTGCTTTTTGGGTTTTGTTTGTTTGAGACAAAAACAAAACAACAAAAACTTGTTATTTGTATTTTTAACCTATAGGTACAACCTGTGATTATATCAGTTATAAATTTATACACACAGAGTTTCTCTGTCTAGCTCTGACTGTCCCGGAATTCACTCTGTAGACCAGGCTGGCCTCAAACTCAGAGATCCACCTGCCTCTGCCTCTGGAGTGCTGGGATTAAGGGTGTGTGCAGTTGCTGCCTGATCACTATGGTATTTTTTAAAAGTAAGAGAGTAGCTGTCTTTCAAACTAAGAAAATATTTAATAATCTTCTAGACTATTCATCAGTATGCTATGACTTGAATTTAATTTTCTAATAACAACCTTATGGAAGATACATAACAGAGAAGAACACGGGTGTGCCCCTGAAACACATTAACATTGGACACAGTGTAGATGAGAATCACCTTTTCTGTTCTGAAATATTTTTGTCTTTTATGAAGTCCACTAAAGTTTTTCAAAGAAATAATTAACTTGTTAGAGAGACATGGTTATTACGACCTCATAGGAAGTCTCAAACAATACTCAACTAGAAATAGCAAAGAATTAACTAGCCCAAAATATCAGTGGTTCTGAGGTTAAATAAAGTCTTGTATGTTGCATATAGTTTTAAACATTGCTCAGATTATCAAGTTCATGCGCCAGTAGGAACTTTTACTTTGGTTTTCAAGTATGATATAGGTTTAAGTTCACCTTCTGTAAAGTTAGATTACCGTGCATTGTGCTGTCTTTCTCTGAAGGTGTGTTAAAATATTGTGACTTGAAAATAGTCTTATTTTAAAAGCAGTTTTGTTTGAAGAAAACTTGGGGAGTTTTCTTTGAAGCTGTGACCAGCTCTTCTCCCTTTGGTGAGTGCCCTCTGCTGGTAACTTACTCGCTTTTATAATAGAGAACAATGAAAACTCAAGTTTGTTATTTTTTTTATTTTAAGCTATAGATACAACCTGTGATTCTATCAGTTTATAAATCTGTCAACTTTACTTGGATGTCTTGTGTAATTAATAGCTTTACATTTTAAAATAAGTTTTACTCTGCTAATTACTGATACAGAGATTACTATGTATATTACCTAGTCCTAGCTACGTAGATGAAATGTGTACGAGACAAAGGGAGACAGAGTAGAACAGACTGCATTTCCATGTGAGTGCTGGTGGGCTTAGCTTGTTGGATGAAAGGACTAAAAGCTGCAGTGTGTTCTGAATTTGCTTGCTTGTGCTGTGGGGCCACTGCATGGACTTTGAAGCATCGTGTGTCAACAAAGGATTCTAGGAAGGGCTTGTTCAAAATGACAAACTGTGAAGGTTCCCATTTTGTATACCAGTTGTCTGTTAGAAAAACCACAAAATTCAGGCAGTGTATTTTGATCAGTATTGAGTGTTTACTTAGTATTTATTTAGACCTGAATTTTAAAACCTTGTTGGCTTGTGTATCTGAGACTTTTATGAATAGGTTTTTTTGTTTTTTGTTTTTCGAGACAGGGTTTCTCTGTGGTTTTGGAGCCTGTCCTGGAACTAGCTCTTGTAGACCAGGCTGGTCTCGAACTCACAGAGATCCGCCTGCCTCTGCCTCCCAAGTGCTGGGATTAAAGGCGTGCGCCACCACCGCCCGGCGAATAGGTTTTAACAAAACCTGGAATCCCTTAGTTCATAAAATATTATTCAAAGCTCACTTTGTCCCATGAAGTTTTCCTGAGGTTTGGAGAAACACGAGGAGCCAAAAGGCTAGATGACTTTCCTTCATGACGCTTACTTGTCTTAGATGTAATTTTAGGAGCAGAATTTAGTTTTGATCCAAGGCTATATACTTTGAGAGCATTAATTTCTTGCCTCTTTGCTGGGAATGAAGCTCCTTGGTAGAGTTCTTACCAGGCATGGGTGCCAGGAGCTGAACTCGGGTCTTCTGCCTGAGCAGTATGTACTGTTAACTGCTGAGCAATCCAGGCCCTATTATTGTGATCTTAATTTAATAAAATTGGTAGGAATGAATAATGATGAATATTGAGAGAGTTAGGGATGGATATAGCAACTGCCTTAGATAATGTTATTAGTTTTTAGTAAAGTCCATCATGTAGGGAAGTCAGGGCAGGAACTCGAGGCAGGGACTGAAGCAGAGGTCATGGAGGAATACTGCTCACTGACTTGCTCTCCATGACTGGCTAAACTTACCTGCTTATTCAATTCAGG